GCTTTTAAATGAATTGTGAATCTAAAATATGCGTGTTAGAGAATGTACAAATGGTTAACATTGTCTGTGTCATATCAGTCAGAAGTTCTGGGCTTTTTTATTTTTTAATTTTTTTAGCTAACTTAGTTGTTATTCTTGGCTGAATTGCTCTAGGTTTTCAGAAGCCCTTTAAAATTAAATATGTACACATTTTGGATTAAATGAAAGTATAGTAAAAATGATGTCCTAAATGGACGTCGGGAACTGGATATTGTTAGACCGCCCCGCTCCCGTTCAAATTACACCAGAGCTACCGACCGCTACCGCGTTTTATTCGGGAATTTAATCCCGCGATGCAAAAAATCTGGTCGGGAGAGCGGGAATGCAGAGCTCTAACTCCAATCTCTCCCACTCCAACAGCGCCTCCTGCTGGCAGAGAATGAATTTGCATATATATGCCACCACAAATAGAGTGCAAGTCTGTGGGAAACACGGCTTCTGTTATGAATATTATTCAATATTTTAATTTGAATGTCGGATTGAAATGAACATCGCTGTTATTAGAGTAGTTAAAATTTTTTAATTAGCATGTTTTTGTGTTTTGCTTTGGTACCGAAATTGGTACAGAGAACCGTGGATTTTCACTGGTATTGGTACCGAATACTGAAATTTTGGTACCGTGACAACACTAGTCTACACTATAATATGAATCCATAATGACCAGGTCTCAGAAGGGTTGACAACAAATTCACAAAAACTGCTCACAAAAGTTGTGGTGATCCACTAACTAAGAACATAAAGCAGATTTTTACTGTCCTCCTTTCCAGGCTGTTAAGATCATGTCCAAGTCACATTTCACCAATAAATCTAAATTAATTTCAATTTTGAATGAAACGCATATTAGGACGTAATAAAAAAAATACATATCATTACTGCAATGCAAAGAAATAACACTATATTACTAATGTGCAAATATGAATAAAATACTGTAATTTTTTAAAAGTATTTTAGCAATCAAAATTAAAAGGAGATTCACTGTAGAATAGTTAGTACCTTAGTTCCATTTCATGTTTTGACCACAAATATCACACCTGTAATGATGGAAATGCTCAAGTAAAATGTGCAGATGAACACGGCTGATTGAGGAAGTGCACAACTCATCTATGTTTGATAAACAATGCAATGCATTTAAAAAGTTTAATAAATTTGAATCAGTAAAATACAGACTTGAATGGACAATTTAAAATAGTAAAATTGCTAATTCACTAATTTTATTTCAATACACAAATAATATTTTTGTAGAGATTTCTTCAGGATTCTTTGATGAAAAATAAGTTCAAAAGAACTGCATTTTGCAAAAATAGAAATTATAACATTATAACTGCAAGATTATAAATGTCTTTAATACTTTTGATCAAATTAAAGGTAGGGTAGGCGATTTTGGAGAGGCTAGCAATAGCAAACTAGCTTTCAAAGCAAGATCCCACCTTCCCTGCATAATCACTCTGCAAAGCAAGAATTTTGTGAACAATGTGCTGAATTGTCATGAAATAATGCCATAGTACAAAAAAAGTGTAATGGTCCAATAACAAGGCTTCAGTTTCTTGTACCTCATATAATAACTTTTTCTTCCCTTTTGATTTTGAGGTGACATGTGTTCATGTATTCCGCGAGATTCACTAAACAAGCCCATTAAACTTTCAACTCAAAACATTTGCCCTCCACACTATTCCTGTCATTCTTTCACATGGGGTGAGTGGTCGTCTTGTAAAGTTTATAGTGTGTCAAACAGTCACACAGTCACTTCAGTTTCTTCTGTGCAGTCCTAATCTACTACAAAGAGGATGCTCACAAGCGCAACCCACAAATCCACAAGTCACAAACTTCCCCAACATGGGAACCCATGCAAAACCACAAAGACATCAAACAAGTAGAGCAAAAGTGAGGTGAAAAGTGTGTGTGTGTGTGAAAATTAGATCAGACAGCCAATTGAGAACCAGAGAAGGAGAGGGGGTGGGGGAGGGAGTTGAAGTAAAAGTCAAGCAGTACCTTTTTTGGCGATCTCCATCTCCTCCTCTGTCCAGCGAGACGTCTCTCCAGCTTCAACTGCGCCTGTAGCGACACATACCGGCAGCGTCAGTGAGGGAAAACTCAATCAGCGCTGTACGACACGGCTCATCTCACACCCTCCCTCTCTATCTGTTTACACTCGGGCGCTGCGGAGACCTCCACCCTCCTCAAGACCTTCCCTCCCTCAGTCTCCAAAAGCTTTCTGTCCTTTGCCCCGTTTATTGCTTTCCCTCCATGGCGCTTACTGGACTCAACTAGGCAGTCTCGCCTCTCTCTTTCTCCTGTCTCTCTCTTTCATGCTCGGTCTCTAGGAGAGTCCAGTCAGCTGATCTCAAGCAGACAGTGGAGGAGTGCAGAAGCACCTCCCTTCTGGGTCTAAGACCAACACACACACACACACACACTCACCCATATCATTAGGCAGTCTGTCTCATAACAGTAGCCGAGCTAAAGCGAGCAGCGCAACAACCCCTCCCTACATAATTTCCACTCAAACTACAGCAAGAGCAAAAGAGAGAGAAAGACAGCCTGTGCTCTCCTCTCCCGCCCGCTCTGAGGGTTTCCTTGAAATTGAATAAACACTAAGACAGATTTAGCACAGTGTGAACCTCTGACATTTATGCGAGAGTGCTAGTGTGTGTCCTGCAGCGTTTGGATGACTTCGATGTCTCCGCTAAAACTCTTCAAATAAATGTCTCTTTGGTGACCCACTAGACGCTGTTTACGTTACCCCGTGACCCCTGAGTGTGTGCGTGTTACGTTTATATGCTCATACTCCACTGCTCTGTCATGTTGATGGTGGTTTAGACATTGAATTGGTGCATTATGGCTCTTGAGCGCCTGTTTAAAATTTTAAACCCACTTTAAAGACAGAGAATGACAAGATAAAAATCAAGCACAGACACAAACTTTATTAGGCCAGACGGGCAGACTCTCTTCAGGCCCACGAGGGCTAGAGGTTTAATAGCTTTACTGGTCCATCAGATCATAATACAGAGGACAGAGGTCAGACTGGAGACTCCATCGTGAAACAGAAGGAATGACAAAACACAATCGGTGACTAAACTTCAGTACGGCGCGCTAATCAGCTATAATTTCAGACGTGGACGCAGCCTGCGTTCAGGGGCAAATGTAATGAACAATTTTTACTGAGCGATGAGGTCTCTTAATTCGTTTTAAAGTGGCACCAAAAGCTAAATGAAACAATCAGGCTGGTCTTTCATTCCCCTTTTCGCTCTAATCAAACTCCTCCTGAGACTCGCCGCGTTTACCTGCCTCTCATTATTGTCTCCATGGCGATCCCTCCACCCGCTGTCACCACGGCAACACAAACTCAGAGACCTTGAGTCTGGCGTTGGGTGGTAGGAAGAAGAGAGGGATTCGGAGATAGGAAAGAATGGACAAACAATCTCACAGAGAGAGTGAGAGAGAGAGATAGAGAGAGATGGAGCAAAAGAGCAACAAAAAAAAGGCGAAGAGAGGGAACCAAAGAGTGCAAAAGGAATGAACAGTAAAATGAAGAAAAACACTCTATATATCATAACAGTGAAAAACAGAAGAGAAATAATGCTGAAGAGATAGATGCTGTTTCATGAGCCTCAGGGATCAAATCCACTGTGTTTCTGTACAGCAGCCTTTCTATCACAACAGCAACTGAATCAAACCCCACAAACAACACGTACACCATGCTGCGGTCAGAGAGAGCAGCGAACTAGGTGACTTTCAGGCTTTGTAATGAGGTCACAGAGGAACAGCTCACACTCACACTTCCACAGACTGACCACACGATCAGCAGAAAAACATCACAGAGCCACAGCGACGCACCTTTTTGAGAGGTGACAAAGTGAGTGAGTGTGTTGATGTGAGAAGCTATTTGAACAGAAAGAGAGAGGGAAAGTATGTGGGGAAAAAAAAAGACAGCGCTTACCTCGTGTCTCTGCACTGGCTGCAGGAGAGGGTTTCGCAGGCTCTCGTGCTGGTTTCTGCACCGGCTCAGGTTTAGAGGGGGGTGTGGGCTCTGGCAGAACTAAGCAACAGAATAAACCATCAGGACTTGGGCTCAGTTGTGCTTGTGTGCCCAAGTATTAGGAAGTCGGATGCATTATTAGGAAATCAGTTTGGACTGATCATTAAAAAAAAAATTGTGAAACTGTTTGACAATGAAAAAGAGTTAAGTCTTTACAATAAGGTAAGATTTAAAAAAAATATTTTTCATAAGATTTTTTTCTGCTAGTTGGTTAGGCCAGTAACTCAAATTTTTCTTTTTACATGTTTACTGGCTCCATTTGTTAATTAAATGTATTTTTATTTTTCATTTAACGTTCACTTTCTTTTATAATTTTTTTTATTTCTTTTCTTTTCTAAAACTGTTTAATACACCAACTTATTAGGTTTTTGATTGGCAAAAATTGCTAAAAAGTGACAGTAAAGACATTTAAAATGTTAGAAAAAGTTATTCTTTTGGACTTTCTATTCAAATATTAACACAAATATTAAGCAGCACAGCTGTTTTTATATAAACATATTTTAAATGAATGACAATAATATTCAATGCACCACATCAAACCAAATGTTTAAGTTTGCAAGGCATAAAAACACATGGTCAACAAATGTAGGATGACAACGCAGCACTGGCCAGAGAGAGCAAGTAACAGTTGCGCATGGGCATTTGGGTGTTACCTGGTTCAGGTGGCGGTGGAGGTGGTTCCTCTGCAACCACAGATGCAGCCTCATTATTGGCCATGGAGCGGGTGGTGATGCGGCCCTTACGGCGGCCCTGGCTGTTGGCGGTCTTTCGGCCGCGTAGCGTGCTCTGCTCCTTACCCTCTTCCTCCTCTCCCTCACACTTCTCTTTATCTTTACTGATGTCCCTGTGGGGGCAAAGACAAGGAATAAAGGCTCTCCTCTGCATTGAACTCTATTCAGCTACATCTATTCAGATGGTCAGGGTGAGCAGAACTCAAGAGTTACAAACGCAGACACTGTGCGAATTTCTCATCTGCTATGATGTATTAGTCTTTTGGAGTTTATCACAGTTTCCATAACAGGAGCTCACACAGATTTCAAAACCACTTCTGTACCATATTTTTGTATTCACAGAAAAGTAAAAACCCCTAGTTGTTTCATGATTTATTCTACTTTTTGTTGAATTCCTGGTAGTGACATAACAGGTCCAGAGTGAAGCACACCGTCTCCTCCAAACCAAATGAGTTAATGAGGCTAATCTTAAGCCCCTGTTACAATAAGGCTCACCTCACAGAAAACAGATAATCTTACCTACTTTAAACTACTGCACACTCATTGAGAGAGCAACAAAACATCTATCCACTATCTATTATTTGAGTGGTTTAAGTGAAAAGATTCTTTCAAACTTTTCAAAAATTTAGAAAACACTGCAATTTTGAGACTGAATCCTGTATCATACCAACAAAACAATAACTGTGCTGTTGTCGCTCCCAAATTTTCAGTGTGCATGTGGCCTTTGAGATCTCACCGTGGAGTTGGAGAAAAAGGGCGAATTGAGGGGTGTATATTCATTAATAGGGGTGTAAATCGGATGGTTTGTCACGATACTATACGATATCGATTCTCATACCCAACGATACGATATTTGCCGATACCTCAAAAAGTTCTACGATACGATTACGATTCGATTCGATACAGGAGTATATCGATCGATATATCGATATTATATACCTATTTTAAACAACCATCTACATTTTTATTAACTCACAAATGCAACCAAAATATATAACATGAACATTTATCTGAAATTTTCACATCCTGTACCTCAATTGGGACATTCACAACAAAAAAATAGGCATACACTTTTTTTTTTTAAATAATAAAGAAAATAAACAATTGGAAAAACAGCGGCTGTCTGTGTGCGTGCGCGCGCTTCAGATGTCTGCGCAGAAAACTTCTCACACAGCGTTCGACTGTTCCGCAAACAATCCCGAGCGTCTTTTATGCTCACCTCGTGCCTTCGGGCAGTCCTTATATCGAGTCCTGATACGCGAGTTTGAACGAGAATGCACGCTTGTCGGTAATGCTTAGACGGACATTATGTGAAAATGTGGACAGTGCCAAAATAAAGGTGCCTATTTATACTACACTCTGATAAGCACGTCATTTTAAGCTGGTGCACCACTAGTGTAACTTTGTTTTCGTTTTGCACAAGTTGCAACAGTTCCGTTCCGTGTAACAGAAACACTCGGTTTAGCGGAACCTTTACGATTAATTAACCGTGACGTTTTAAAGCGCGGTTAATCGCGAAACCGGTTAATCGCTGCATCCCTAGTATCGATCCATATTGATGAATCGTTACACCCCTATTCATTACACCTATCTAAGGAAAATGGTAGGAAAAAAAAAACAAACAAACATGGAACTTACTTTGAGTCCTCTTTTTCATCTTTCTCCTCCTCTTCCTTCTCCTCGTCCTCTTTCTTCTCTGATTTCTCCGATTTGTCCTCTTCGTTCTTGTCGTCTGCCTTGTCTTCCTGTGAAGGTCGCGTTATCTGCTTTAAAAGGAAAAGAACCACAATAAAAGAGGCATTTAGACAGCTGACCTTTTTAAGAGCACATACCTGTGACCAGGTTCCCATCACAGGAATAACCAGCAATTCACCTTAAATTGTGTCAGCCCAGCTATGAAGCAAAGGAATGCTTATGTACCATCAAACACCAAATGGACAATATGATGAAACATGATTCTAACAAATATTTCATCAAAGTGGATATTTTAGCTACATTTATTAAGCTCGCCTTCTTTGTTGCACAAGCTTGCACTTGCAATCTCTCAATTAAGTTTTTTTAAAAATCAATAACGACTAGTTAGTGCTGTTAGAGCAAGTTTTTATGTGAAATAAACTGGAAATATATATACACTACTGGTCAAAAGTTTGGGATCAGAATGATTTTTAATGTTTTTTTACAGGAGTTTCTTATGCTCATCAAGGCTGCATTTATTTGATTAAAAATACAGGAAAAAATGTAATACTGTGAAATATTATTATGATGTAAAATAACGTTTTTCTATTTTAATATACATTAAAATCGAATTTATTCATGTGAAGCGAAGCTGAATTTTCAGCATCATTACTCCAGTCTTCAGTGTCACATGATCCTTCAGAAATCATTCTAATATGCTGATTTTAACTTTTATAAAGAATATCTCTTTGGATTTGAGACTTTAGTCTTTGCAACTTTACAGATCTTCTTTATGGACCAAGAGCTTGTAACACTCCAAAGAGAAAGGAAAAAATGAAATTGCATCATATGACCCCTTTAAAAAGAAGAGCATTTATTTAAAATATAAATCTTTTCAAACAATATACACTACCGTTCAAAAGTTTGGGGTCAGTAAATTTTTATACTTTATTTTTTTGAAAGAAATTAAAACTTTTATTCAGCAAGGATGTGTTAAATTGTTAAGAAGTGATAGCAAAGATTTATATTGTTAAAAAAGATTTATATTTTTAATAAATGCTGTTCTTTTAAACTTTTTATTCATCATAGAATCCTGAAAAATGTATCGCAGTTTCCAAAAAAATATTTGGCAGCACAACTGTTGCCAACATTGATAATTCTAATAATAAATCAGCATATTAAAATGATTTCTTAAGGATCATGTGACACTTTAACAGTTTTTTTCTCTATTTTTGATCAAATAAATGCAGTCTTGATGAGCATAAGAGACTTCTTTAAAAAAACATTACAAGTCTTACTGATCCCAAACTTTTGAACGGCCGTGTATATTACACACACACACAAATGAAAATTGTGTGCAGATCATGTCATAAGAATGAATTCTTGACTATATTCAGACTGCCATTTCCTTAGCTTGGAAACTTTGTCAAGGAGTTTTCTACATTCACTGTTCGCTATTGTGATAGAGACCACAAAATTGATCTCACTTCAGTTTAAAGCCAGACAGCAAACCGAAATGCATGCTCTAAATCATTCCTGCTCTGGACTGAATCAGTCAGAGTTCCTGTCTGGTTACTGCTAATCTATCTTCTGTCTCTCCTTTACTTTTTTAAATGAAAAAAAAATAAACCACATTTCACACACATTCACTCATCACATCCCTTCAGGCCTACTTTCCTAACAAGGAAAGTAAAAAAGCTTTGCAATTCTACCATTTCTCATATAACCTGACAACAGAAAGTTAAAAAACGAATTTGAATAATGGAGTCACCTTCACTGTGCAAAATAGTTGATACTGAATAACAAGAACAAAGTAACCTGGCTGGACTACCTCAAAAAAAAAAAAAAAATTGAGCTTATCTTGAGCTTAGAAAGTTCTTAAAAATGTAGCTTTCCGTGCTCAATGGTGCTTTTTTTTTTTTTTGCCTTTCGAAAACGTATCTAATCTTCAGTGTGACAATGAGCACAGAATTCTTAAGATCTAATACATATGACACAAACACAGAATATGGGTCAAATGTTAAAAACGCATGATTGACGTGACTGGAATGGCCAAACAGTATTTCAAAGGAGGCCAGACATCTAAACATGCGCAGCATACAATGATGTGAACATGTGATGAACATTAGGACATAGATGTCACCAACAAACAGAAAGGACCAAGAAGAGGGGGGAAAATATGAACAGAGAAGCAGATGATCAAGTGAGAGAAAAGCTAAACAGAGCAAGTACTGGCCAATCAGAACAAAGTCGTGTAGGTGGTGCTCACATGAACAGAGACCTAGGAAACACAATCCACACGCACAAAACACAATGCCCCAATGTTTTATGCTGTAAGTTTAAAGAGTGTCTTTCTCATAACAGCAGAATTCAGGAGTAAAACCCATCTGTTTCCAATGTTCATGAACATGCATAAATAAACATGTACCACAGAGAATTGGGCTCTTTGTATCTGTAGTCACACAATCGATATAATAAATGCGGGTCAATGACATGCACTACCGTTCAAAAATTTGGGGTCGGGTAAGATTTTTTCCATTTCAGAATTCAGAATTCAGGAATTAAAAACATGCTCATTATAGAAGAGATGTATTCAAGTCACTGTATGCATGAATAGCATTTTTCATATACTTTAATAAATTAATTTGACAAAGAAAAGTGTGATGTGATGTGACCCATATTTATCCAACAGGTGCAAACAACATTATACAGCATCAATAAAGTTGATTCTGTACTGTAGAACATCTGGAGGCCAGCAGAGTCAGTGCAGAAACTGAGAGATTTCAGGCTTCTTAAAGGCAGAGTAAGTGATTTTTCAAAAACACTTTAGAAAACTGATTCGGGCCGAATCGCAAAACAAACTTGTAGCCAATCAGCAATAAGGGGCGTGTCTACTCGTGATGTGGAGGAGAGCGCGTTCAGTGCATGGGACGGACATTAGCCGAGCCGAGCGACAGAAAGATAGAGATGGCGGATAAAAAAACAAAAGAGGAAAACGTCTGCGGAAAGATAAGGCAAGAAGTAGGACCCGTGTAAATATCAGATCAGCTTTCCAGCGCTGGAGAGAACTCAAGGAGCGGAGGCCTGCGATCGGACGCCGAGGTTGCTTTGTTTCTTCTCAATAGGTGAGTAACACCGTGTCTACAACAGCTAAAGTCTGACTACACTGGACGCGATCAAACGACCGTTGAAAACCATTTGAAATTTGTGTCAGCACGTCATAAATAGAACCCGGCAGCAGTTTTCTGTCGGGATTTGTTGCGCCGCGCCGCTCACGTCCGTAGACACGGTGTAACATTGGTTTTGCTTTGTTTCACAGAACGAATCGTTGCCTGGGTTGCGTACGTATATGTGGGGCGGAGCTATCAAAATAGGGGCAAGACCCTTTTGGGGTAGGGCCGTGTTTGTTTTGGTGTTTTCAAATATCAACATTGGCTACCAGAAATCACTTACTCTGCGCCTTTAAGGTTTAGAGAAAGCAAATCTAATTTATCAAGATGTTTCACATGCGTTTAAACTTTTAAAACAATCTTAGCTTTACGAGGAAAAAAATTATTAAATTAAAATGAACTATTAGGAAATTAAGTTTGCAATTTGAGTTTACTTGACAGCCTTCCAAACATGAGATCTTGTTAGGGGTTAAAGGGTTAGCTCACCCAAAAATGAAAATTAGCCCATAAATTACTCACCCTCAAGTCATCCTAGGTGTATATGACTTTCTTCTTTCAGACGAATCCAGTCGGAGTTATATTAAAATTTGTCTTTGATCTTTCAAGCTGTTTAATGCCACTCAGCGGGTGTTGCATGCATCAGTCCAAAAGAAGTTAAATAAAAAGCAAATCCATCCATAAAAAAATATCAGCATATGCAAAGCAGGTGACTTTATAGTTTTTACAAATAGGAAAGGAGCTGGGTCAGTTTCTCACTGATTACAAATGTAGGTTACACATAAAAACCAATGTAAACAAAGCAAAATTATCAAACTAAATATTTAGGTTTCTAACGTGAGCATAGCCACTGTCTAGTGCAGCGTTTCACATGCAGGCCAAGAGTCAGACAATTAAGTGAAAATGTGTGTTTAAATGCAAGTAATCGTAAAAAAAAAAAAAATTTAAGGTCTCCTTTAGACTAACATTAGTCTAAGTGCAGAACTGCAGTTGGTGGAGAGGGTCTTTTTTCCTTCGGTTTGAAGAGGAAGCCAGTGTGCTAATGGCCCAAGGTTCTTTATCATGGTTGTTGGCTCGGACAGAGGAACTGGAGCCCCTCCTCCTGCTTGGTCAGTTCCACGAAAGAGAAGCAAAGCACTGGAACAAGCAGGGCTCAGCCAAAACAAACAAGCTGCGCAGCTGCCAGATGGGACCAAAAAAAACCCCCCAACATGTCAGAACCTCTGCCACGGAGACGTGGAGAACAAATAAGGGGGAAGGAAGGGAAACTGAGATAATTCAGGTCAAAACAAAAATAAAAATGACAGAGAAAGGGGCCAATACATGAAAGACATATAGCAAGCATGGAGCGGACGCAAGATCTCTAGGTTGAAGGGCAGGAGGAGGATGTGCTTGTTTCAGTGCTCTCTTCCACTTACAGCACATTGACAAACTGACATAATGGATCACAATAAAATCCCATTTCTGCCATTCAGAGCTCAGTTTACAATGACTTTACATTTCATCTAAAGACTTTCTTTACAGGCGGTCTCTCTTTTTTTTGACAGCTTATATGGGAATGATGGTTTACTTCATTATAAACTATGACCCTTTCACCAATCTCTGAGCACTTCAGGTTTGAAACATGACAATTTAACTGCTTATAACAGATATGCTGGTATATAAAGCATATTTGTTATCATTAACAAACTAAAACTATTTAACAAAAATTACTTAATTGAAATTAAACGGAAATTTAAGCTGAAAATGTTTAAGTTGATCTATAAAAATGACTAAAACGGAAATAAAAATAAAAAATGTTAAATAAAAAAAAATGTTTGGGTGCGTTTTAATGTTTTAATAAAACACAACACAACAAACTCTAAATTAATTAAAATAAAAACTAAGTCAAAACACAAATAAACACTATAATAGTATATAATATT